CACACACACACACACACATACAAAGAATTTGGCTGCCCCACACGAAGGACGATGACGGCACCAAGCGATTCCTTCGGCGCTCTCAGCGTCATCGTTGGCCCACCAAAGGAGAAGGAGGAGCAGAAAGTGCAGGAGGAAGAGCAGCAGCAGGAGGAGGAGGACCTGGAGCTGGAGCAGCTGCAGCTGTGGAAGCGGAGAAAACTCGTAAAAATGTAACCTAAAAACCGCCAGAAAAAATTCTACGTTATATGGCCACCCAATCCACCCACCCACCCGCCCAACTCCCGGGCCCCGAACCAGGAAGGAAAGCGAGGGAAAAAAAAATAATAAAAGGGAAGGAAAATAGTAGTCGTAGTCGTAGTCGTAGTAGTTCTCTCGGCTGGAAAGTAGGTGGAGTGCTTATTGCGTGGGATAGGGATTGGGTTTGCCATGGGGGAGGAGGGGTGGCATTTGTCGTCCTCAGCTTGTTGCATCCTTCTGGCTGGCTTGTGGGCGCATAAAAATGTCTTCTTGCAGCCAAAGAAGTCGAACCCTTGAGGAGGAGGAGGAGATGGAGGAGGAGGAGGTGGTGGAGGAGTAGCGTAGAGAACGCCGACAGCGGCGCCTGCAACGCTTTTCTCTCGTTCTTTTTGTTCTGGTAATCGAAAGATGCGTTTGGCAAAGTGGGTGGCCCGGTGGGGTCTGGTGGGGGGGATAGTTTCGTGAGTGGGGGGGCTGGCTTTGGAGAGTGGGTTGGCTAAAGTACAGGCGATACATAGAGAGAGAGAGAGAGACAGCAAGAGAGAGAGACAGGGAGAGAGATAGGGAGAGAGTGTGGGAATGGCCCACAATATTACCCAACACCTGCTGCTTCTTGGCACACACACACACACACACACATTCAAGCACTTTCCCTCTCTCTTTCTCTGGCTAATGTCTCCCTCTCTCCCTCTCTCTTTCTCTCTCTTTCTTTTCTTTGTTAGAAAAAATTGCTCTGCGTGTGTGTTGGTGTGTGTGTGTGTGTTTAAGTAAATCCTGTTGCTTTCGGCTCATTCCATCTCTTTTCTTCTCCTATATATTCGAGACTCTCTCACTCCTTTTTTTTCTCTATTTATTTAATTCGTTTTTTTTCCCCCTGTAAATAAGGAAAAAGTTTGGCTTTTTAATATGTTTACACCCCCTCTACCCAAAGGGGTCTGGGTGGTGGCGCCACGGCTGTCCATGCAACAAGTTAAAGCTCTGTGGAGGCAAAAGTTTCCGCACAAGAAAGACATGAACGGGCACAAATACTTGTTGAAGGCTGTATGCCAGAGGATTTTATTAGTGAAAATTAAGGAAAAATACACGACAGGCAGGGAAGGAAAACTAATCTGAAATGAGACAGGAATCCACTGAAGGTGGTCTAAAAAAAGATCTTAAAGGTGGCTATGGGAACCTTTATCCTTTCCCCATTTAAAGTGATCAAAGTCCTTGTCATTTCTGTACACTTTAAGACCTTTTTGGGTCTGGGGATAGATTTTAGATATATTTCTATAGAGAACCCTTCAAAAATAGCGCCGATCTGTGCCCGTCTTTGCCTTTTCTTTGATGAAAATTTAATATTAAATAACAATCCCCTTCATAAATCCTTTAAAATCCCCCCCAATCGGATCCTTAGAGGTGCCTTCAACCACAAAAAAAAGGGCTGTCGTCCACAGCCACAATCCCAACGACATCTTATATAATTTGGTTAGTGTAATCCCCATTCACTCCGCTGGGTATGCCACCTGAATCCACAAGTGGTGCGGGGTGGGTGGTGGAGGAGGGGTCCACCATTACAATCAAATGAGACTCCACCACTGATTCACTGATTGAGCCATTTCCAGCACCCGGAGAACAACAGGCAGTTGTGGGGGCAACAGGCAGCAGGCAACAGGCCACAGAGCCGTGCAACAGGCAACAGGCAAGATTCGCCATCAACACTATCCCCGCCGAAGCCCGGCAGGCCGCTGGCTCTGGTGCCGGTAACACCTCCACCCAAACCCCAATTCCAGGGCCAACCAGCGACTGCCTGGCGTCGTCCTCGTCCTCGTCCTGGTCGTCGTCGTCGTCGTCGTCTTTGTCTGCTTCTTCGACTTCGATCAACCAAAAACACGACAGAGAGCGAGAGAGAGAGAAAGAGCCATATGGCAGGGGTGTGGGGGAGGTGGGGGCGGAAAAAAATCAAATGAAAAGCAGGAAAAACAGAAAAGAAATGCAGGAAAATTCGTTCGTTTGGGCCACGGCGACGAAAATCGGCCACAAAAACAGGCAACATCAGACGAGGACGAGGAACGAGGACGATGGCTAAAACGCTTGCTCCTCGTTGGCTCCTCGGTTTCGGGTTCGGGTTTCGGAGCGTTCGGTTCGGTTGTTATTGCCACACTGCTGCCGCCACCGTCGCTGCCACTGCCACAGCCACTGCCACTGCCTCGACTGCTGCTCCTTCCTGCCTTTTCGGCTTTCGGCAACGGAGGCGGCAAAACGCATTCGGCACTCATCGTCTGCAATTTTTATATTGTGCAATATATTTCGTAGGGATACACTAACCCTCTAAAGCCTCCCATCCCCTTCGTGTGTTTGTGTGTGTGTGTGTGTGTGTGTGTGTGTGCGTGTGTTTGTGTGTGTGTGTGTGTGTGTGTGTGTGTGCGTGTGCGTGTGCTTAAGTGTGCTTCGTTATCTCCAGCAGAGCACTTCGTTTTGGGAACACACACACACAGCAGCACACCAGCACACCAGCACACAGCGAAAGCGACCCGACCTCCTGCCACTGCAGTTGGCCAGAACTAACCCGAAACCCACACCCATACCCTCCAAAAAGGGGGCGGGGGGCTAGAAACCCCCCAACCGCCGAACCAACCAAAGCTGGAGCCAGAGCAGCCCAAAAGCCAGACACCGTGCTGGATATACTCGGTGCCCTGTACTCGCCTTCAGAAGGGTGTGCTGGTACTGGCGTAGACCCGAATAACTGTTGAAGATAAATGTACACTGAGAGAAATGCAGCCATATTTGAGTAAGATATTTAAGTAAAGATATTAATTAGAGTTCACATTAAAAAAATTATAAAATCTGCTTGATAAATATAAAAAACTTAAAACTAATTTTATATATGCAATTTTTGGGAAATATATATAAACAAAAATTATATTTAAATACGAAAATGCCTAATTTAATTATGAAACATATTTATTTCATTTATTTTGGATAAAAAATATATTTCGATCAAATATTTTCATATAAAAGGTTAAATAAATATAAGGAAAATTTTGTTTTGGAATTTTTAATGCTTTTATGTAATTTTTCTGGGATAACAAATATATATCCATGAATATTTTCATTTAAATGGTAAAATTTAGGTCAGGAAACTTTTTTTTAACAATTTAAGTTCGAAAATTTATGTTTTTTTTTAAGATTTTGAAAACTTTGTATTTTATTTATTTTAGATAAAAAGTATATTTCAATGAATATTTGCATTTCAATGGTTGCATTTTTTTTCAAGAAATTGATTTTTAAGAATTTGTAATATTTTTTTTGTTTATTTTAATTCTAGTTGGTAAAATTATTATTTTTCATATTATTATATTATATTTCAATCAAATCTTTTCATATTAATGGTTAAATTTAAATTGGAAATTTTTTTAGAGTTTTGACTATTTTTATTTAATTTATTTTAGATAAAAAATATGTTTCGACCAAATTTTTGTATTTTTTATTAATTTTTTTTTAGAATTTGTCTTTATAGATTTATTAAATAATTAAATATCACGGATTTTATATCTGAATTTTGCCTCTATTAAATTATTATCCCGTTTATGCCCAAATATCCCCAAGGAAACAGAGTATTCTTCCCAATAAATGCAGTTCTCATCCTTGTTGGTATAGGGTAATCTTTAGTGGAATACTCCTTGAGGGCTGTGGTTTTTTTTTTGCTGTATTTTTGCTTGGTTCTTTCCCATTTTGCAGCTTCGTGCAACGACGAGAACGACGACGATGACGCCGCCTGCACCCACCTCAAACTCGAGAGCCAACAAAAATTGTCACTGGAAAAATGTGCTAAGGGTTTTTGGGGTGGACGGGGGGTGGACGGGGGGCGGGCGGGCTAGAGAGCCATTGGAAAGAAGAGGACGCTGTCTCGGTGTGTGTGTGTGCGAGAATGTCAACTAGAAACAAGGACGATAAGCATTATGGAGCGCATTGAGGAAGTAATTGAGTGCACGAGACAGGGACGCAGGGCAAGGACGTGTTGGCTGTGTGGGTGGCTGGGTGGCTGGGTGGGTGGCTGGGCTTGGATGAAAGGCGGACAAAAAAAATATGTACACATATACAGAGGGGAGTTTATATATTTATATAGGTTTCTGTGTGTGTGTGGGTGTGCATATAGATACGACATTCCGCCCACCCCACTTTATAGCAACAAAAGGCATTTAACATTTTAATGCTCCCCAGGATCCAAGGGTTGGGGCTTGGGGATAGGGGTTTGGGTTTGGGAAGGTAGCAACGTGCTAAACGTGCTCAAAAACCGAAATGAGTGTTTTTCAGGCAAAAGGATAAGGCCCAGCCAGGACACCGAGAGAGAGAGAGAGATAGTAACTAAAACGCAGTAGTACCTAAAAGCGGAAAAAAATATGCAATTTATGTTAATTTTTTTGTGTCCTTTGGACAGAGTTTTACGTTTTTTTTTTTCGCGGCGCAAAACATATGGCCAGGACTCGATGTTGATTAGGTCCTGGATAAAGTCAATTTCCCTCAAACAAACTGCCGGCAGTCCAGAGGCACTTCATTTGCCATTTACACGGACAAATCCCATTTGCGGCCCTAATACTCAAGGAAGGACGAAGGCCAGGCTGGGGATGGGCACACGAAAAGGATGAGGAAATAGAGACGCTAGAGCATATAAAAATTGTGGCTGGCTGGGCACAAAAATTATTGAGCTTAAGGGGGGTTTTCGACGAATTTTAATTGGTTCGAAGTAGGGGGCCTTTTTGGGGGGTTTTTGTACTCACCCACAATGTGCAGCATATCCTTGGACCACTTGGAGAGCTCCCGCTTGATGAGACGCCGCTCCTGCAGGCATCTGGCGAACGAGCAGTCCGCCATTTTGCCGCCACTAGCTTCGTAAGCACAACTGTACCTGCAACAAGAACTCAATCGAATTAGACAAAAAAAATACAACAAAACAGCACCCCCCCACCCCAATGGAATTGGAAATGAGTGTTAATTTATTAAATCTATAATGCGCCATATAAAATTTCATTTATTGTTGTTTTTTGTTTTTGTTGTTGTTGTTGCATTTTCGAGCGCTTGCAAAAAGCAACAAAAAATAAATGATTAAACGAGTTTTGTTTCAAGGTTATCGCGAAAACACACACACACACACACACACGCACACAAACACACAGATACACATAGACAAAAACCTGTTGCACTTTATATTTTTAGTAGTTTTTGTTTTTGTTGCTGTTTTTGTTGTTTATTATTTCATATGCTGCAAAAATTTATTTTTTTTTCTTGATTTTGTTTCTGCGGCTATCGTTTTTATTTTTTTGTTGTTGTTGCAGTTGCATTCCTGCTTAAAGTAGTTCTAGTTGTTGTTTTTGTTGTATTTTGTGGTTTTTTGTTTTGTTTTTTTTTTTGTTATTGTTGTAGCTCTAGCTGTGGGGCTTTTACTATTCGGGCAGCTACCAGTTTTTGATATTTCCTAGTTCCAACCGAACAGTGCGTGACAAAAGTATAGATTCAAGAGGGAGATATAAATGGGGTAGTCTTTAAATTCGATCAAATGTGTGGAACTGTTTTGCATATCGATAATTTGTGCAAGGAAACAGATAAATGATAGTTCGTGGTGAATCGCTTTTGTGATATTCAATTTATTTTTTGATAAAAATATCAATTAGGTGTAATTCATACAACAATCGATAACTCGCCTTTTTTAAACGTGATAGTATTCGGAAATTATTCAAAAAAGTATATCGACAAGTATTTTCGATTATTTGTGTCATTAATCATGAATTAATATTCATTAGCTTGAATCGTTGATCGATTCGATCATTCGACATTAAAAAGTCCTTCGAATAGTGTGTATCGATAAGATTTGGATTATTTTTGGCATGATTTGATAACTTCTGCCATTCAAGCACCAGTATCTATCTATTTCTTAACAACTTCTAACCCCCAAACCTTCTTGTAAGTAGTATTCGATTTCAATAGAAAATCGATTAAATATAATACAGAAAAATATCGATAAATGGCACATTTTAAAAGGTGATACGTGATATTTAATAAATATTCAAAAATTATCTATCCATAAGTATTTTTCGACTATTTTTGCCATTCGCCTAAATCGTTGTTCGATTCGATTATTTCTGCCATTCAGGCAGAAGTATCTATTGATTTCTTTACAACTTTTAACCCCGAAACATTATTTTATTCAGTCTTCCATTTCAATAGAAAATCGACTTAATTTTCGATGAAAATATCGATTAAATGGCATACAGAAAACGATGGATAGGCGTCCCATTCGGAAACATGATACGTGTTATTACAAAAATATTCAACATAAGTATTTTCGATTATTTTTGCCCTTTTCTTAAGTCATTGATCCATTCGATTATTTCTGCCACTCAAGCAGTAGTATCTATCGTTCTCTTGCCCTTTTTAGCCCTCCAAACCCACTCTAAAATAATGGTATTCATCAGGAAATAGTTGCCATTTTCAGAGGGAGATCAGAGTGCACTCTCCAATCATGTGAGGCACTGTACTGGCCCGCTCTCGACTGCCAGACAACAATATTTCCAGCTACTTAAGCTGTCTATTACATTAATTTATTCAAATGCCGTTGTCGTTGTCGCTGCGTTGTCGCTGTGTTGTCGTTTTGCATTAAATTAGTTTTGTTTTTGATTATTAAAAAGTCATCAATTCCGAAACGTGTTTAGGTTTTCAGAACTGCATTCGGCAACCAATTGAATGGCAATAGAATCTGTTTTAATGGAATCCAATTTTATATGTTTTTTTTTCGGGTAAAACCCTCTCCCCGGCCGGAGGGGGGGTGGCTTTCATTCAATGTTTTTCCAAGCTATAATTGGTTGTTGAGAGATGATTAATGATTGTTTGGCTGGGGCCTATAATTGTACTCTCGTTCTCGTTTTTCATTTGCATTTCCTTTTTCTCTTTCTCTTTCATACGCGATTTCCCTGCCTCCCCCCCGCCCGCTGACCACGCTGGATATTTGCCTACCCCGAAAACCCAAGAACCGGCTAGACCAGCCCAATACAGTCACCGCCCCCTGCCCCTGCCCCTGCCCTCGTATTGCTGGAAATTACAAAGAACAGCGCAAAAGTCAGTGGAAAATGTAATTGAGATTCTAATATCAGATAGCAGATAGTCTATCGGAGGCCGAGGCTGGGGCTGCCACTTGTCGGAGCGAAGGTAAAAACTGGTAGCCCAAAGAGAGTTTCCAAAGATGTTTACGCTGATGAAAAATTACTCCAGCTGCCACTGCCACAGCCACAGGCCACACGGCCGCAGAGCTGGCGTGCAGTAGCCCGCTTTGTGGGCGTGTCAACGAAGCACGAGGCAGGGCAGAAGCTGGCTGCCAACTGATGATGGACGTTGATTATGATGGACGTTGCCGGCCTACCAAGAAGTACAGAACCAGAAGCTGCCAGCCATGAGTAGAGCAATTTGCCAGCACAAAAATCAAACACAACGATGGCCACAAGGAGATTGAGCGATTCCTAGGACCCGGCCCCAAACACCCCTTAGTTTTTGGTATTATTTTAAGTAATTTTTCTAATTAAAATTAAATCAAACCGACCCCTGGCAAGACTCTCTGTGGCTGGCTTCCTGCCTTGACAAACAGTTTTTCTTTATAATAAATGCCACAAGTATCTACACGAGTATTTGTATCTCACTGCATGGCGCGGAGAGGCATTCGATTTCATAAATAAAACAAAATATCAAGGCCGCCCTCTCGTACGATAGATATCCATCCATCCATATATATGTACTTGTATGTACTATATAGAAAATCGCACAAAAACTGCCAGCAATTGATTGGCCAAAGGTAGAGCTAGAGCAAAACGAGTTAATATCTTTGGAAACGGATTGTATTCGGATTGGATTGGATTGGATAATGTGTGTTCTCTCTCTCTCTCTGTCTCTGTCTGTGTCTCTCTGTGGGCACAAAGTGCATTTCGGCTAACCAGTTTCCAGTTTTTGCTTAGACTTTGGGCCAAATTTGAAGCCAATGTTAGGGCCTTGAAATCGTTCAGATCGTTTCGCGCTTTTTTGTTATTCTAAACACTCAATTTGCATGGCAATTCCTAGTCAAACCATTCATATTCATATTCAATCACTTGATTCATTTGCTTATTCATTTACAAAAGGCGGAAATAGACGCTTTCGACTCGCCCCCAAAGTGTTCTCATAATTTCATTAATTAATTGTTTTTTGCTAGCTTACTTTCTAGCAAATTAGTTTATGGATTAATCCGCTACGAGTGCGATCGACCTTCGGTTGTCTCCGTGCTTGGTAAATTGTGCGCCTAAGTCGTTCGAATATGTTAATTTTTTGGTTTGCAATTTGTATAAATGAAATATGTGGAAATGGGGTTTGTAATTTAGAAGCAGGAAGTCAGGGGGCTATTGATTTGATTGGAGGGACCAGGGGAGTGGGATTTTTTTAAGGGAATTCAACAAAAATTCCAACAATTTCTGTGGTAAATTTCTGAAGGCTTTCTTCTATGGAATTGGCTCCTTTACCTGCTTTAAATGGCGGAAATGTGTACCCCTTGGCGTATGCGTAATATTTACATTTTGGCAATTGTATCTTTATCTTTATGCCCGCATATCCGCTAAAAGTGAGATTTATCTTGCCCTAAAGATCATTAGGTTTTATTTGCTGTTTGTGCAACAATGACAACTCTCACCTGTTGCCTGTTGCCTGCCGCGGGGCAACAGCAACTAAGCCAAGAAGAGCACGCGCCACAACAACAACAACAACACAATGACAGGAAGATCGAAAACGAAACCAAAGTCACTGGCTGACTGGCGGGCCTGGCTTACTGGCCAAGAGGCCTGTTGCTGTTGCCTCTGTTGCTGCTGTTGCCTCTGTTGCTGCTGTTGCCTCTGTTGCTGCCGTTACAGTAACACACATTTAGCCAGTTGCTGTTGCTGTTGTGGCTGTGGCTGTGGCCAGTCAAGCGCATTTCCATTTCTAACGTTGATCGGCGATCTGCGAGCTGCTGCAGCCACGACCGAGTGAGGCCTGGTGGTAAGGTCGAGCCTGCCTCCGTTCATGGCCAACAGCAGCAGCAGCAACATAGCGACTAGGGAGTACCCATTCGGCAATGATGTGAGGCTAGAGTAGCACGGAGAGGTAAGGAGGTGACTGACTGACCGCCAGAGCCCCCCCTTTTTCGCACGACTACGAGGTAGCAAGCAAAAAAGGCCTTTGCCAGCGGAGAGACAAGTTTTGTGCCGAGTCTTGTGCCATTGGACTTGCTCTTGGCTTGGTTGTGGCTGATTTATTGGCCAGGCCATCTCTGCCATTGCTCTTGACCCCAATGCAGGTCCCAAGAAGTGCCAAAAACTTAATTTCCTGTGAAATATCCCACACGAAAACAAAAGAGGAGCAGCCCGGCAGGCATCCTGGTGCCAACATTGATGGCATAAAGGAAAGGACTAGACAGGGAACTGTTTTTAAATCGAATAATGAATCAACAACAGGAGGCGAGGAGGCGGGCAGGCGGGGAGGCGGGTAGGTGGGGCAACAATGGCCACTGCTCTCTGTGTGTCTCGTTGTGGGTGAAATGAAGTTAAATGCCGCTCAAGGATGCTAAATGTGGCATGTCGAAATGTGTGCTGTCTGCTCTATTTGGCTTGCGGCATTGTCTGTGTGTCTGCGTCTGTGTCTGTGTGTATGTGTGTGTCTGTGTGTAAACATAACTGTTGCATGCGACAGGAAGGCGAGTTGCAGCTTTGCTGCTACTGAATGTGGCACATTTTCGACATGTTTTGTTGAGCATTTTGGCAGCAGAGCAACGACACTATCTGCCAGCTCCTCGTCGTGCAGGAAATGTGCAAAATAATGTTACGAAACTTTTTCGTTGCAATATGCGCAACAGGAGGCAGC